ATGACAGATCGTGAAAGTCACGGTAGCAAAGTTCGTGGTCGCGGAGAATAAAACGAAGTAGAGTAGAAATATAGGGTAGTTTAGTGTCGAATAGAGTCGTGTAGGTTCGAACTGAAACGATAATTACATACAAAAAGCTAAGATACAACGTCAGCTACGTAGTCGTGTTACAAACAAAATTTAGGAAGACTTATAGACAATATTGGTTTCGTAGCATGACAACATTTCAACATTAAAAGACTAGTCATTTGACAATAATAATTCGAGTACCAAAAAAAAAGGGAGAAACTTACTTTGGTGACGACTCGCACAGCAGAAAGTATAGCTCAAAAGGTAGCTTGTAGCAGATTGATCCTCTGATCGTAGCGGTTGCGGAATGACTCTCTCGCACGCTATCTTAAGTCGCCTTTTATAATGAGTGCATGCGTGACTGTACACAGGATGTTACTTAAACTTGTAATGTACACCATATGGAAGTGTTAGCTCATTTCCTACGCACGAACTTAGCCTATAGTACACGCACGAATCTGCGAATTCCTAACTAATACGCAGCAAATTTTAGCACGCTTCATCGAAACTAGAACTAACGATTATTATTAGAATATGTCGTAAAAACAGAGGGCGTTTTAAATCTAACATCCTTAAGTATATCTACTATGACTATCTGTGACAAATCTGCGATGGAATGGGAGAAGCCCTAAATTTCTAAAAATTAATATCAAAATCCCAAGGAAACAATTACCATCAGGGAGGCCTAATAATTATGATCCACAAGCTTGTAAAAGTAGGAAATGACAACTCAATTAGCAAGTGAAACAGAAGTACTTGGCTTTGAAACTGAAATTAACTTTAGTGTTAGGAGGCTCATGATGGGGATATAAACCAGATGTGACAATCTGCATAGCACAGTTAAGTTATTGAGCACTAAGTAAATTTAGGACTCTCTCAATGCAAGCATTCTTCTTAAAAGATATATCCTGGAAATTATAATACAATTGCTGAATTATTCATCTACATGGATAAGTGCAGACATGTCATGGGATTTGAAGAGGGCCTGTCTATATTGCATTACATGACTATTGCTTAAATCTTGCTGTTTGTGTAACTAGCACAGTCTGTCTGTGATCTACTTTCTTTTTCCTTGTAGCTCACAGAATGATTACATGTTCTAGTTTGACAATGCCCAAGTTAAATATGCCTTCGCTTGAGTTATTTATAAACAGCGTTTCTGACCAATATTCTGTGGAAGTCTTCAAGTATGTATCTTTTTCAGACACAAAGTCTCAAGCATCAAGCAAACGTGAGAACTTTAGCACCAAAAAATTTTCAAGCACAAGTAAAAGTCTGCCAAAGAAAAGTGTTGTTTGTTTTTAATGTGATGTTGAGTATATATGCAAATTTCCATTTGTTTACTTATCTGTGGAAGTTGATTAGTGTTCCAAAAGCAGTGTTCCTTTTTAATTCATAGGAATAAAGGAGTGGATTCCAATGACCAACAATTAGTGTCCTTTTCTTGTCTTTTTAACAATTAGTTCTGCTAAAATTGTGATCCTAAGATTTTGTTGTGCAAAATACTTGGCTAAAAGACATACCCCAATTTCAGCACTATCTTTCCACCTGAAGACAATTTTCTTGAAAAAACTGTGTGCCTTAGAACCGAGAAACTACCAGGAATATGAAATGGATCTTGACATTATGGCTGAATTATGCTATGTAACCTATATGTAACCTATGTGACCTGGGGCCTGTTTCTCGAAAGTCCCAGTAACTTAACGGGCTCGTAAAGCTGTTCTGTTTTCATTCAAGATGGGGATTTCAAAAGTTTTAAAAATGATACAATAAAACTATCGGTTAAACAAACAAAAAGGAATGGTTTGGCTGCCAGAACCTGCTTTCCTATCTTTTAAATTTTGATTTTCAAACATGGCTTCGGGCCCGTTAAGTTACCGGGACTTTCCAGAATTGGGCCCCTAGTGTGGTTTCCTTTCGCTTATATAACCTATGTAACTTATATGTAACCTATGTGTCCTGCTGTGGTTTTCTTTCACTTTGTCAGTTCTTCTATTATGGCAGACTAACTTTGATCAGGGTCCCTTGGAGAATCAAATTCACTTATGTTGAAAAAGCCATGTTTAAGAAAGGTTAAAAAATGTGTTCTCCTGTTGTAATGACTAACTCTACATTGTAACTGCATGATTTGTTGACTGACATTCTGGTAATTTTTTCTTGAACAAAATGATATGCATTATTCTCTTTGGTGGTGTCTTTCTCCAACTTGATTTGAATCAAGATTATTTTATTATTAAAATAACCACATGACCATGCTCAAGTGCCATTTCTGATCATCAGTTGCAGTTAATAAACTATGCCATGAGCCCATTCAAGTTTCTTTTAGCCTTTTTTTGAACAAAATATATACCTACATTTTTTTTGTAGGGAAGCCTCATACATTAAAGCAACTTAAAGTCAAAATGACTTGAATTAATCAACCTGGTTTGAAAAACCTTATATGTTAAATGAATTTAAAGTCAAAATGAGGTTGAAATGTATGTTTGTGATTAGGCAATATAGTTTCTTCTGTGTTTAAATACTCTCATCTAAACATGAAAGGGGGTTGAAAGATTTGAGAATGTTATGCAAACCCTTGAATGCATTTTGGGTTTGCATAACTTTCCAGAAAATGAATGTCACTGTGATTAACCTTTTGAATGCCATTAAAATTTACACCATAAATTACCATGAATTCAACCTTAAAAAAGAGAGAAACTTCAGATTCAAATAAATACAGATAAAAATTTAACAACAACATAACCAGCAATGACTTTCTTTAACTAATCTACATATTACTAATGTTTGAAAAATACTTATATTACGATAATTTAACTACCGCTGTCTTGTTAGCTCCATGTTACAGCTTAGTAGCAACCCAAAATGTTCTGTCAACACCATTATGCTGGTCAAATACGAAGGTGTACACTGGATGACATGGGGTATTCTTGTGGTCAAATATGAAAAGAAGGGGTTGCAGGACAAAAAAACTATCCGTCAAGTGCGTGAGAAAGTGAATACATGTAAATGTACAAACATACAAATGTACCTATGAATTTATGGCAAAGCTCATGGCCTTGTCCTATCTAATTCTTATTAAGCCATCGTTATCTGAACTTAGATAAGCATATCCATGTCTACATAACATGATGTGTACATCTCTAATTCCAGAACATTTCTGCTGTGTTCCCTTAGAGACGCTCGCAAAGAAATTTTCATCTGTACCATGCAATCTTCTTTTGTCTAACTGATGTAAAGATGAGAATTCACTACTGACATTGTTTGAAGAAGGGGATTTTCACTGACCTTCATATTGAGATTAACCAGACAAAGCAGTCTCGCTTCTATGAGACAATCATGCCCACTAAATATATTAAAAGAGAATTGGTTCATGCTTTTAGCTGATGTGTTCAGACTGGTTGAATAACTTTTACTTTCTCATCATGAATTATGGTTGCAAATAGTAACAGACCAGTTTCCAATCTTGCATTTATGATTTGTTATCATGAATTCTGGAACTTTGTGATGATGACTACTTGAAATGTCTTGAAATACTCATAACATATGATCTCTTAAACAACCTCTTATGCAATAAGGGAGGAAGTTTACAGCAATAGGAGGTTTGCAACCAATCTCCAGAGACAGGTAACAATCGTGAAAGTAACAAATGCTGGTGGATGAACAAAAGGAGCTAATGAGATGCCTATTGTTTCTGTATGTATGGGGTTATATTGTACTCTTACTATGCATTCAGATTCTGGGAGAGAAACATGGATGAGAAATTACTTGAAAGATTATTCTTAGCTTTACCTGAGTGGTTCCACTTTCCTTGATTGTTCAATACAGGCCGATAAGAAGATTAATGAAGAGTGACCGTTTGATAGAGGTGACCGTTTGATAGAGGAGACTGCTTGATAGAACGGAAAATTACAGTGACTAGTGGAAACAAATTCGGGACTTTGATGTCTGACCGCTCAATACAGGGTGACTGCTTCTGACAGCGCTGCCTAAATACAGGTTCGATTGCACGTCTCCATGACGTGCATTCCGGTCTGAAAAATTGTTGAGAAC